GTATATTGTCCCATATCAATACGTCTTTATGTGCTTTCAATACCTTCAATATATTAATGGTTTATAAATTGTTAAACCCAGGGCTTCACTTAGATGCTTCAAGAGGTTTGAACAAAAAAAGTCGGATCCAAAATTTTTAAAAATATATTATTGTAATTATTTAAAAAAATACAATTAAAAATACCTCTCACCATATTTTATAGCAGAGAACAGCAGCAAGTCATTATTTTATGCCACCAGCATCTCTGCCAGCATTTGAAAATAGTTTAACTGTATGATTGTTTAAGAAAACTGTAACTCTAAATTAGTCTTTTATAAAAATAGAGCTACACAGAGAGTCTATGCATATAAAATGGAAAGCAGTTGTAGAGCAGCATAAGACACAACAAGGACCAGGCACATCTGCTCATTGCAAATTCTCATCAAGGTCTAACCGTGAGCTGTGCATAAAGTAACACTTTAATGCAGCTCCTTAGAGTTCTGCATTTACAGTTTTAGTGCCTCGAATAAGTAGTGATATTTCTCCTTATTGTTCTGCCTAACAGTTTAATACTTAGAATAAGTATTCAATTTTTCTAGTCTTTTATATTTATAAGAATGTGAACCACACTTAGACATTTTTGGTGATATAACATTGAAACAAAATTTTTCTACTTAATTCCCCTTTCAAATGCAGTCTATCTAGTAGACTATTCAGGCATTGCCAAGAAAGCTACTTACAAATTGTTTCAACATCAGAGTAAATCAGAATTTCCTATGCAACCAAATCCAAATGAAGATATCATATTAGTTGCAACTGATACAACTTTAACTGTCATTCAAAATGCAAATAATTCAAAATGCAAATGTTGATTTTATGTTCCTAAAACAGACGCATTCTTCTTACTAGTTACTTTATAAACAAATTTTATTTATAGTCAGTATTTGAATACTCTATTCCACTTCTACTGCTATCCACTGGCCCAACAGACCATCCTTTCATGAATGTTCCAGGACTCAGGCCCTCCTCACCTGTCCTCCTGCTTTCACCCCTTTTGCCTTTGTGGCCTGTTCTCAACACCTGAATCACGGCATTTTTCACTCACTACTCTGCAATGGCCTCTGAATCCGTTAGAATGAAAGTCAAATTCTGGATAAAGATTCACCAGGTGCTGCAGACTGATGCTTCAGCACAACACAGCCGCCATCTCCTGCTACCCCTCTGCTGACATCAGCCACTCTGACTCCCATGGTGCCTCAAACACACCAAGCGCCGTTCGCAGCAAGGCCCTTGCCTTTGTCATCCCTTCCTCCTCAAGGCCTCTTTGCTTCCTCACTTCTGAAAGGTCTTTGATCTAATGTCATCCTTTCAAAGCACCATCCTAGGCCATTCTTTTTTTTTATTGCATTTTATGTTTTGGGGTACATGTGAAGAACATGCAAGATAGCTGCATAGGTACACACGTGGCAGTGTAATTTGCTGCCTTTCTCCCCCTCACCTATATCTGGCATTTCTCCCCATGCTATCTCTCCCCAACTCCCCACCCCCCGCCGTCCCTCCCCTATTCCCCTCAACAGACCCCAGTGTGTAGTGCTCCCCTCCCTCTGTCCATGTGTTCTCATTGTTCAACACCTGCTGATGAGTGAGAACATGCGGTATTTCATTTTCTGTACTTGTCTCAGCTTAATTACAGCAGTACCCAGTGTACTCTACCTCCCAGGTTTTAGACTTCCTCTTTGCATTTATCACCGTCTGAGGTAACTCTTGTTCAGATCACTTAGTATTTATTGTCTGTCTCCTCCCACAACAGTGTAAGCTACATGAGAGCAAGCAGAGATTTTTACCTGTTTTGCTCCTTCTATATCTCCAGAAGCCTAGGGCAATGCCTGGCACCAGTGGCCAGGCAGACAATATACATCTGTTGGATGAATAAAATATTCTAAATGTTTATTCATCACAAAATTCTTATTAATATAACCCAAAAAATGTTATGTTTATACTGCCACCAAAAAAGCAGCATAAAATTATAAGTTCCCGAGGAAGGTTTATGTGTTCATTGTAATTTGGAATTATTTATAGTACTTAGCATAATACTTCAACCACCACACTAATGGTACTCATCCAAATTAACATCTACAGGCCTCGCATGCTTTTAAGTCTCTCTCTACCCATTAGTCTTCACATACATACAATAATAATAGTCTACTTAAAGGAGGATTATTTTCACTTTAGGTCATATCTTCAACTTGGTAAAGCAACTTAAGGCTAGCCAAAGCTTTCCTAAAGGAATTCCAACAATCCTTCCTACCATCGCCAGATCCGTGATCATAATTTTCACCACAGGCCTCTGTTTGCCCAGTCTTTTTTCTCATACCACAGTTTCTTTTAACTGCACAACTCTTGTTGACATCTTCAAGTTGTACACCCACGTTCATTAAGTAGGATGCACCTTTGTGGAAATGTCTAACGCATGGCTGATATCCTAGTGAGCTCAATGGAAGCCATGTGACTAAGTCATGGCCCCTGCCCCATGAAGACCCTTTTTCTATCAGGTACGATACACAGCTTCTCTCCAATTTTAGAACAGCTTCAGCTAAAAGCAAGTGTTATAAGTGGAATGTTCATCTGGGACTGATCAGGAGATTGTTAGAAAACAGAAATGTCAGTTATGCTGATTTTTAAATTTTTTCAGTTTAACAACTTACTTGTCCAAATGATATTGCCTAGCACATTAGGATGAAAACTTGCAAGGTGTTAATTTGATAACACCTTTATTCTCTGAACTTACAAAATTGAAAGACAAATATAACAGCCCAGGAATGGTAGAGTGATTCACTGGTTGCTGTTAAAACTATAACAGAAGTTTCAGTCAAGGCAGAGATGTGGATGTGTTTTTGTATTTGTATATCATATATCAAAATAAATACAAATTGTGCAGCAGTAGAAATAAGTGTACTAGACTCATTTGAAGGGATTATGAAGGTGATCTGGCAGCATCCAATTCTACCTTGAAATCACCAAAGAAGTGTGAAATCCAACTAAATGTTATACAGTTTATGTAAATGTCAAGTCTGACATGTTTTATTTCAGGCTTTGATCATGACGTTTCAATGTGAATAGCACTTGCGCATTTTGAAATGTGAGCACTATACCCATTGATATATTGTCTGTAACCATATCAAAATTGGAACTAAGATTTCAATAAAGCACAAAACATTCCTGTATCACAAGCCTGTGAACAGAAATCGAAATTGCCTGGAGTCAATAAAATACCAAAATCCATCAGCCCTGCTGATCTGTATGAGCCTTCACTGAAAGAAAAACTTCTAGTTGGCAGGATTCTAGACACCAAACTGAAAATTACATGCCACATCTTGATCAATTCTTAATCACTTTCAGTAATTTCTATTTACAGGAACACAATTTAGATCCTAAGCATCATTGTTATCTGTGTAGTTTCTTACTTTCTTCTTTGGGTGTAAATATTCATTGACAGAATCACTAGTGTGCCTGAATGTGAAACCAAATTCCAGATCCAAGTAATTAGCCCTTTGCTATTTTGTTAATAACAGCAACAGCAAACAGACTGGGTCTCAGAGTTTATAAGCATTCTTTGTTGACACATCTGCTATTGAAAAGATGCACTCAGTTGGGAGACCGTGGTGATCAACATTTCTAGCTGTATCCTACATAATACCCATAGATCAAAATTATAGAAAGTGTTGGTCATCCAGGGTCCTAAAGAGACGTCCTTGTATGCAGCTGGGTGACACATGATGGATCCACATTTTATTCTTTGTATGCTGAAAATGGTCAAGTCTTCCAAAATCAAAGAATCTGAAGGTTCATGGAAAGGAAACAGATTTTGCTTTTTTTAGTTTGTAAGGTTTTTTTCATGGACATCTTTTTGCTTTCTGAGTAAGTTCTCTGGAGGGTCTGCAGGAGGAGCACTGCTATGACAACACTGACTCCTTGCTTGTGTGTCTGTTAGCTGCATATTTTTACTCAAGATGGGAGTGGTAAGATGCTGGAAGGAGAAACACAGAACGGCCGCTTGGTCTGAGAATTGCCTCAGGGTGTTCTAATAATACCCAACATGGCTTCAATAGCTGTGAGCAGATTTTCAGTGTCCCTGGTTCCCTACTTAGTCGCTATACAGGGCATTCCTTCAAAATGCAATATCAAGACTTCACTTTATCTACATTTCTTTTCCCCAGTTTGTACTGAATTCTCTCAAACCCGAAGGTCCAGGAAAGGGGGAAGTACAGAGCATTCACTGTTGCAAGCTCTGGGCATCGTCTCAGCTGAATGAATGTAGCAAATCAATACAGCCATAATTTAGTGCCTTTGAAGGCAAAGAATATGAGTTTCATCACCTTCTTGCAGGTTACAGGTATACAGAAACTGTCACATTTTATAACTATAGGAGAGGATAGCTATTATGTGCCAAAATTGGACACCACTCATACATACCTATTTGAAAGCTTACAGACTCACTCTTATAAGCAATTCCTTACTATGCATCAATAAAACACCTGCAAGTTTTACTACAGATAGAACTTTTCCTTAAATAACCCTATCCAAACATTTTTTAAACCTAGTAGATGTATTCATGCCTCTTAGGGCCGACGATTAGCATCTATAGCTATCTTTAGGTTTGAAAGTGCTCTTTGTAACAGAGGACTTAGTATATCCTCAACTGTTTCCATCAATCACCTACCTTTACCAATTAAAATCTTACCTATCTCAAAATGCAGCCACTAAAATGACCAAGAAGAAATCAGCCAAGTAAAAAGTGAAAGAGCTTATTCGCCATCAATCTGTTCCACAGTAAAACAAACAAACAAAAAATGCATCTGAAACATGATCATGCTCTCCCAAAGCAGTTATTTGGTTTCACCAGACTCTCACTGGTGAACACCTGTCTGTTCTCTTGTCCTGCTATCCATGCTTCCAAAAGAGCAACACGATTGCAGAACAGAATCCACCGAGACATGAGAATGGAGAGCCCAAGACTTACATTATTCATGTACTCGCTGAGCAGGTCCTGGAGCGCCTGCCGCACGGCGTTGCACTCCGCCACGATCCTCTCGCGCCGGTCGTCTCGTGTGCAGGAGGAGTCTGCCATCAGCGCGGCGCCGCTGATGATGCTCTCCAGCCTCTCCTCCAGGGACGGCCGGAACCTGGCCTCGCTGAACGTCATGGGGTCCAGGATGATCTTATTCTGAAAGTATCACAATGAAAACAAATCAGCGGAGACGAGAGGTCTGCCTTTGCACCCTGTTTTGAAACCAGCAATATCTGAGGCAAGAACAAGAGTCCCCAAGGAGGAGAAACTAGTTACTCAAATTCTAAAGTGGCCTTGACAAAGTATTAACTTTTGTAGATATTTTGTCCTAAATGTAATCTTCAGCTTGAAAATAGCACATCTTGTTTGAAGAATATGTTCTTGGCAAAGGCTATCTCAATGGAGGAACTTTCAAATAAGATTACGAGACTTGTTCGGCATTTTAAAAACACGTAGCCTTTAAGGAAAGAGCATTTCAGAGTAACACTTTGGGGAATTATAATTAGAGCTAAAACATGATAAATAATCAATATCTTAATTATGCATTAGCTGTGAGAAGCAGATAGTCCCATGGCAGGATGCCTTTTGAAACTTGGGCACATAGAACCCAAGAGCCATAGTCAGTACAGGCTAATTTATCACTGGGAACTAATATCTTCTACGTCAAAGCTAGTTTTCTAGAAAAGGATTCTTAATGTGTGTATGAGGCTTTTCACAAAAAACTAACAGCACCCTTATAAAGGTATTTGCATGTATTGAAGAAGCCTATGTAAGAGGAAAATAGAAATATTTCCTAAAAGGAAGGCATCATGTAGAACATGAGCTTAGCATTTCCCCAGCCAAGTTTGAGGGGCCTGAAAACGTAGGCAGAGATGCCCAGAGGTAGATGGAAATATGCATCCAAAATTCAGGAGATATAATAATCTTTATAGGGGTCTGAAATGTCAAGGGTATTTGGACACAAAGTAATGAATGACATGCTAGGAAAGTGAACAGAGCAAGAAGAGCAGGTCAAAGAAGACCCCATGAATTATCCATTTCCAAGGGTATACAGAAGGACCAGAATCAGAAAGGAAGACAGAAAGAGTAGTCGGAAAGATAGAAACAAAACTTGGAAAACTCCCAGCAAATAAGGAGGGTACAGAGTGATAAAGTACATGATCATTAATTGTGTGAAGTCTAGAAGCAAAGGTGACATTGACAAAAGGCTGGTTTCCTTTGGGAACCTTTCAGCCTGAGGCAACAAAGTTGATTCCAGCAATGATAATCAAAGTAGAATGGCCTGCTGCAGGTAATGGTGTGCTTCCTTGGGGTTGCACTCTCTGAGGTCCAAGAACCAGAGCGGCAATGATGGGGTGAATGGTCTTCTAGCGGTAGAATATTATGGTCCAAGTGCCACTCTGTTATGAGTGTTTCTTTCAATGTTCATTATTTTTTAAATATTTACCAAATTTAAAGGGTTGTTAGAAAAGAAATATTTACCATATTTACAAATACAATAAGAAATGCAAATGAGAATAGGTAGTTATTCTATTGCTAATCTGCACCTGCTGAAGACCTACTATATGCCTACTATAGTACTTAATGCTAAAAAGAAGGGGAGATAGAATATGCTTTTATGCTTTTTTTATTCTGATGTAGTATATACAATAACTGCTTAAGTTATTACAAAGTTAAGTCCAGCTCTGTGCTCTGGGAAAGTTTGTTGTAACCCTCCAAGGCATCCTAAGGTATTTGTTCAGGTTGTGCTTGGAAACATCTGGGCTCCAATTCTCTGATTCCTGTTAAAATGCAACTCTCCACAGCAGAGAGATAGATCCTTTGAGAACATGTTGAGATCTTAAGGAGTGAGTATAGGCAGGCTGGGAATTAGAAAGAAACAGGTACAGACCAAACACAGAACAGGTCTGAAGTCTAGTGGAATCTTCGATTTTTTAGAAAACCACTAATTGGTTAAAGTCCCTTTTCAGGTTAGAAGGCAGATGCATGAAGTCTTGCAAACGAGACAGCTATTCTGTGCCAGCTTTGGCACAATGATCACTCTCACATTTGTACTCTCTTATATCTTGGAAAGGGTCTGAAAAAAGGATGTTTACTTAACCCAGAATGTGCTAGTTGGGTTTTGCCCTTTGTGCCTTGGTTTCAGGAACAACTGTTCAGTGTCAAAAAATTACGTGGAGGCTGCAATACGGTGGATGCCCTACAGGGTTAATTATTACAGGTGAAAATCACAAAGGAAAGCTGAGAGGGAAGCACAGATTTTCCTGCTATACGTACTGGTGCTGTGTCTGCAATGTCTCGTTCCAGGGACATCCACTGGAACTCTCTCTCTTTCTCTCACATGCTCTCTCTTTCTTTCTACTGCCTTTCTGTTGATGTATTTATGATGAATATATGTACGTGTGTGTATGTGTATATACACACACACATATACACATACACACACACACACACACACACACACACATATAATCCATATACTATATATTAAGAAATGATATTCTAGTTGAAGAAATACCTGGTCAAAGTATAATTGGACTATTTTACTTATAAAGATTACTGATTTCCAAAGACCTATTTTATAGAAAACCGTATTAACATAAAACATAATAAAAACTATATGTTCTTCTTTAAGATTTCAGGAGACTCTTCAGAATCATACACTGGCTTTAGAACAGATGTTTATTGTACTTTAGGACTAAACACATAAAGAAGTGCAAATAAGATGGAAATATGGGGAGGTAAATTTGAACTCTTCAGTAAGGACAATTGTAAAACAGTTTCTCTGCTGTAGAGAGAATGTACGACTTTCATTAGAATACAATTTCCTAAATCATTTTCCATGGAACACTGAGCTTAGAGATATAATGTTTTGATGAAAAAATAAGGTTCCCTGGCCAAATATGTTTTGGAAATACCACATGACCTACAGCCAATCATCATATGAAATGCTTTGGGGAGCTCTGCATTAAAGGAGTCAGTTCACTGTAGCATTTCCCACATCTATTCGGGCACAGAAAGTGCTGCTTTTAAGATGCATGAATTATCTATGAGAACTGAAGGAACACACTTTGGGAAATGTGGCAAGAGAGACTTTGGAGTGTCAGCCAATTGAGTTTCCTACCTGCCACGGCCTGGGGCTGTTTTAAAAGTAAAAGCCTGAAACATCGCGCTTGACAAACTGCATAAAAGTTACACCATCCATCACATTTCTAATGGAATTACTCATTATTTATAGATCACAAGGGAAAAGCTTTTTAAAAAAATCTCCCTCGGAAAGAAACAATAAATTTACAGTATTCAGATCTGTATCTGCAGTACAGATGGGGAGCATTGAAATGATGGATGTGAAAGGCAGCAGGGAGAAGCCACTCGGGGCAGAAAAGGCACAAAGAAGAAAGGCGAGTACACGTGAGCCTGTGTGTGCATGCACATGTGCATGGGAAGAGGGACTGATTGTGTGTGTGTGTGCATGTGTGTGTGCATCCTGAATGGGATGGGCACTAGTTATGTGTGTGTGAAACTGTGTGTATGTGTGTATGGGGCAAGATATGTGCTATTTGTGTATGTCTATGAATCTATGAATAGGTGGGTACAGGTTGTATGCATGGTTGGAGGGGATTGTGTGTGTATGTGTGTGTGCACATGTGCACGTGTATGGAAGGGGCTGTAGCTTATCTGTATGTATGTGTTTGTATATGTCTGTCCCTGTGTTTAGAGAATTGGTCATGTTTCCAACAGGTTCCAACAAGCAGGAACACAAGGAAAAGAACAGAAATGAAGCCAGAGGCTTAAGAGCTAGAGGAAAGGGCTGTATCTATAGTTCCTAAAAAATAAAAAACCAACCCCTGGAACTACATCCTGAGCAAGAAATACAGAGAAGGAAAAAGCGAAAAGAAAAAGGAGTATTTGCTGCAGCATAATTTGAAAGTTATTTTAAAAAATTAGAAACACCCAGGTAAGCTCTCTTTCCTAACACACTTTGGGGACTTTCAGATCAGCAAACAGTCATGAACACAGGGCTCTACGATGCCTCAGTCTTCCACACTAGCTCTGCCTGTCCTCACCTCTCTGCATGGCCGCCCTCTGCTGGCAGGAAGGAGCAATAAACCATCATAATCATCATCACCACCACCAACATCCATGAGCCAGATTCCATTCCCCTCCCTAGTCACAGCACACCAGCACCAAAGAGAGAAAGGAGAAGGAGAAGGCTTCCTGTCTCACCCTGTGCGGCAAAAGTGTGCTCCTGTGAGAGACTCTTACACAGTTTGCAACTGTACAGACTTATCTGAGCCCATTATTTTACATTGTAAATATCTCTGTCTCCTGTCTGCATACTTAAAGCTCATTGAGTCATTTTATCCTTTCGATCTTTTAGTTCCATCTTACATTGTCATTTTAGTTCATTTAAAGATAGTTGGCCTGCATTTCTTATTTTATCATTTTCTTATAAGTTAATTTATGTTTATCGTGTCTATTTTCATTTTGCTTATTTGATTTGCATAATACTTTGTGCTTTATGATTTTTATTTATTTTTATTAACATCTCTACTTTAAAAAATTATTGTTTTCATTCTTACAGTTTATGGAGTGGCAATTGGAATGCATGGCCATAAAGATAGCAGCCACAATAATTCACCCCCAAGCCAAGGAGGCTAGAATCCTATTCTGCCATTGAGTCAGTGCTATAACAATCTCTCTAGTCTCACATAATTGATCTCCCATTTGCTCTCATGGGGCGCTCTATAAAAATTTTAACCTAAAATAGTTTAGCAGACTATGTAGTTCAAAACTGCTTCCCAGAATAATACATTTACTAGCACTCACCACACATACATTATTAGAAGAGCACTACTTTTAAATTGCTCTTATCTTTCATTCTCTCTACAAAAAGCTATGTGATCTAAAATTTCAGTATATAATGGGACGCTGAGTTAGCTTGATGCAAGCTCTGACATAAGAGGAGGAAACAGAGAGATCTCTGTCAAAGAAAGCAGCTGGATGTATTACAAGTGGTTTGATGGGTTCAAAATGCAGTGTCTGAGATTCCTATCTCCCCAGCTTACTGAATAGGGAAATGATGCCAGACGTGTGGTCCCATGGTCATTCAGCTCCCAAATGAGGGCACCAGGATTTGAACACAGGTCTTTTGA